GAGGGGAGAGGAGGAAAATGGGGCGAGGAAGAGTACGTGTGGATTGTGTCGGCCACCCTCTGCTTTTACGACACCGTTTTCCTTCTTCATTTACATATCCGACACTAGCTTGCACTGCCATTGCATGAAAAATACACCGTAACGTTGACGAGTTGCTTATTTTTTGCTTGATCCTCCATTATGGGTTGATCATGTGTTGAGCTTGAAACTTGAATTGTCGGATCTTGCGAATGAAAAAATTAGATTATTATCAAAAAATAGAGGATTGAAGAGGGTGTTGTAAAAATATTCTATAGCTGTAAGCATTTAATGTGGGAGCTGTGGTTTTCAAACTAAAATTCTTTTGTCATATCGTAAATGTGTCCCCTATACAATTTAGTCAATTCTAATGCTCAAATGGCAAAAATTGTTTTGCAGCATCCCATTTTTTTGCTTGTACTGTATAATTATCTTATATGCACGAGTGCCGTATTTTTCAAATAACAAGCAAATCTTTGTGAATTTCGCTTACTCAAGAGTCTTGATGCCAAGCACATTTTTGTCATCGGTAAAAAAGAATTTACCAAAAAGAATCGTAAAGTAAAAAAGTAGATAGTTTCAATAGCAGTGTAGCACGTAAAGATTAAAAATCAGTAAAACGCCACAATCATCGTATCGGCATCCAAACGATGCCGTGAAGGCTCGATGACCCCCCATCTTTTTTCTCCCATTACACCGTTGACCTCTCGCCACATCAATTATCACATAATTACCTTTACAACGCAAAAATCAACACGTTCACGAGTTCCCCCCATGCCTATATTATTCCGTGAAAAATGTAAAAGTAAAACAAATTACGTCCAGCGTCGAAGAAATTATGCATGCAACTACATACGTAAGTATCGCTCACGAGCTCAGCGGTGGTGGATTGTAATCGGGGGTGGGCTGTATGAATGTTTCACATATCACCCTTCGAAATGACTCGACCCTTTTTCTCATCCCTCTAAACCAATGGATGACAAACACAAACTCAAAGTCGTGTGTATATATATATATATATATATATATATCCCCGCGCAGTCAAGTGTATACACAGCATTACACCAAGGTCTCGTTTTCACAATCCGAGACCCTCCCTCCGTGCTCTTATTTTTTCTCCCCCTCGCCCCCAATGTATATGTGTGCACAATACACATGCGGCCCCCCTTGCAAATGCGGCACGCGTGCGTATGGTTATACGTATCATTTGAGCACGCGCTTCGCAGTCGATGGCTCGAGCAGAGGGTATATCCGTATTACATACATAACATTGTGCAACCCCCCTTAGAGAGGGGGGGGCTGTATGAATTGTCTTTCACCTCTTTGTTTTTGCCACTCCCATTTTTCATTACCCGATCGAAGGGGAAGGACTGTACGGTAAAGAAGACGAGAAAGGAAAAAAAAAAACTAGTCCATTAGAGGCCGTAGCGGCTGCCTCTCTCTTGTTTTCCTTTCGCGTCTCTTCTCGTTCTTTAAAGTCAGAGGCCAAGACGCGCGTGGGAAGGGTCCCCGCGATATTCATTCGACAGCACGTCTCGTGCCTCGTACGTTAATGATTGCACCTGTGCTCATTGTTTTTTTGTTATTTAAAAACGCCACTTACTTTGGTTTTTCATCCTGATAATGAAAAAAAGCTCAATTACGATAAACGAAAATTCATCCCTCCTTTGTCATCGTAGTTGCTATAGGTTTCATGTCTGCGTACTTTAGCATCGAAGTCTTTGGTACATTGTCCCATTGGAGGCGGTGCCCCAAAACCCATTACGAATAAATTAAAGCCAGTGCGATAAAAATCATACTATGAATTCTCTCAACGCAAGCCAGATTTCACTGAGGATAATTTCCAGGGAGCTAAATTCCCAGGGTCCATTTATCATCCCTAATTGGGCCCGGGATTCTCCGCGCACTATTAAAATAGATGTTTCAGCGTTTAAAGTCCATCTGTCACGGGGGCCTTTTTTTTTTTTTACGAATCATCGTCGAGTCATCTTGAAAAAGTTACGCGTGATAATCTTTACCGTTTGATTTTATTTCTGTAATATTTGCATTTTCTTTTTTCTCATACCATAACAGTTACGACGAAAAAAAAAAAAAAAAAAAATCCGGAGAGCAGATGGCTTTTGTGCGCCGTCAGGTAGTGGGAGTCGAAATAAGCCTAGCTCCGACGAATAATCCTAATGGACCGTGGCGTTAGAGGACGCACAAACGAACAACGGGGGGAAAAAAAAACAAAAACAACTCGCTCATCGCTGTTATGACGTTCCCGAGCCCCCGTGCAGCCAAACGAAAAGAAGAGCATGAGCATGTAAGCCGGCCAGTATATATATATACGTGTGTGCGGGTACGAGAAGTAAGGCGTATACTACTCGCGAGAGAAAACGGTGCATATATATAGGAGAGCTCTTTGACACTCACCCGCGGCGATGCATTGGCCACTGTGGTAGCCGTCACGTGTGTACGGGGGAAAGAAGAGTCGAGAGAAAATGTAGGCGAACAATGCACAAAGGACTCGGGTTTGTAGGAGGATGGGGAATGTAGTGACGTATGGTACAGTGGAGGAATAAATAAACGTGATGGTTAGCTAAAGAAGATGATGTTGCAGATAGTTGCAGGAACAGGCTTTTTTGAAAATGCTCCGGTTTCTAAGATATAATTTATTTAAAATCAATACAGATTGAAAAAAAAAAAAAAAAAAAGAAATACTTTGGAAATTCTTCTGCGTAATGGATCGAAATTTGTTTTAGTATTTTTGGCGTTTGCGCTGGGAACATTTTCAGAACACGCGTTATGTGGATGAGGATGAGAATAAAGGACGAGGGAAAGTTGGAGGGTGGTATTTTGCATACGCGTGAGAAAAAAGGGGAAATTCATGGCCTCGCTTATCCTTGTTTTGCCCTGAAAATTGAAGCGGTATTAAATTTTTGCAAAACTTTTGTTTTTTTGTTGTTGTGAAGGTACCAACTTGGTGTGAAATTGAAAATTTCATGTCACATGCTTAAATTGACTTACTTGCTGATATAGACGAGAAAACAATTTTTCAAAACCCTTTCAGCCATCCTTTTGATCCAGAGCATTTACATTGAAGTATAAAATTAAAAAATGTTGTATTCCAATGTGATCTAATCCGTGAATTTTTTGCATTGTGTAAAACGTCACTTAAAAAGTTCCAGACCCAACAGTAATTATTGAATTTTCTTTCAATTAAACTTAGCTTAATGCGTACATGAAAGCATCTATTACCAAATTTCAGCTTCATCAAATGCAAATTACTTTACTTTACTTATAGTTAGTTTTAGTTGATAACCATGGAGTACTAAACGTACATTTTAAAAATCTGAATGACTGCAGTTTGGTAGTTTTTCTACAAATATTTGTGGTAACTATTATGAAACGTTATTTTATTTGTATGATAACTCAATTCTTACGTAAACAATCTTCCCCTCACCCCATTTGATTACAATTAATGTGTCAGGATGATTTTCATTGCTTTTTGAAGTTTAATTCAGGTAATTTTACTGCTGTCTCGTTAAACCAAGTAAATAAATCAAATCAAGTTTAAAAATGTTTTTACTTTTTATTATTCTTGAGGATTAAAAGTCATTGCAAATTGTTCACTTCTAAGTCATCTGAGTGTTTTCGTTACCTAGCCTTCGTTAAACAGACAAAAGAAAAAAAAAAAAAAAAACAAAAAACAAATCAAAGCTCAACTTGTACGAAAAAAAGAGAAATATTACTTTGACTTCCCCCCCTAAAAAAAAGCCCACTTCACCCTATAACAGCTCATACGATACCCAGTACTGTTTTTTTCCCTCACCGTCGAGTCGACCTCTGTCACGTCTAAGCGGACAAAAAAAGCAAAGCAAAGCGAAGAAGAAAAAAAAAGGTGATAGGGTACGTCAATATCGCGACCACGCGCACTTAACTCTCACGTCAGCCGCAACCGAACTGTCATACTCGCTCTTTAATGAAGTGGATATTTTTAACCTGTGAGCCCCCCAAGGTAGGGCCTTTAGTGGATTGCCCGCGCACGAAAAGTGTTGAAAAAAAATTAAATAAATACAACAAAAGAAAAAAAAAAGAGCCAGAAAGAGAGCGATGAGAAAAAAAGATAGCGCCGCCTCCGGAGGGACGTTTTGACAAGCTCGCGTGATTTAAATAAATGGACTTCTCGCGCGGCTCAGCGAGGACACGAATGTGTATGTGGGCGCCAAGTGCACGTGTGTTTATACGTGTCCGTGAGTGGATATGAAAGTGCGGTACTCCGAGCGGGTATATTTTTGGCACGCCCCCGGGCGTATTAAGGTGCCATATATGGCATACATATATATACATACACACCCGTAGGTATACTTTTTCGCCTGCTGCTCTCTAGCGTCGATTAATATTTCGCGGAAAGCCTTCGGATGATACGAGGAGGAAAGCCAGAGAGCTTTCATGATGGATCCTTTTTTTATTCCGTCGCTAAACAGCACAGGGCGATGCCTTGCAATTTTTTTTTTCTTTTTTTTTTTCCGTTGCGCGTGTCCCTTTGCTCTCCGCGCGAGATCCCCCTGCGTTTTCGCTTCCGAAGTGGTATTAGTGGTAACGCCTACGCTGTTTGGCCCCGGGTTTACTCGGTAAACTTTTTTCGTGTGATTTACCTTTTTCATTATCATGGTTTTTCTTTTTTCCGCGAGACGGGTGTTGGTTATTGCCATTTTTCAGGGCTTCTTTGCTTCCCGAGGAGCTAAAAATTTCCAACTGTACCATTTATATTTATGTACGAGGGAGTGGTATGGAGATTAATGAAATTAAAAAAAACTTATTTTCACATTAACATTATTACAAATGATTAATGTATGTTTCGGTGCAACATAACAGTGTTGGTAGGGATGAAAATAAATATTTGAAATCATAGTTTTGCAAATATCAATAATTGTGTCTAATATGAGGTGAACAACAAAAAATAGAGATGATGTTTTTTTTTTATTTTTCAGGTGGGAATTTCATAAAATCGTCAAAGGAACTATTATGCGACACGTAATAATCACTAGTTAACAAACATGACTACGCACGATTCAGCGGCTCGGCTGTCCAGTATAGTCGCCTTCATCGTCTTCATAAATGGTGAGTTTCAATCAAAATATTTGGAAAAATCAACGTAAATTTACACCTTTTCGTAGTACTTGTGATGGAATATCTTTAAAAAGTATTAATTATTACGTCTGTTAATTTTATTACCATATCTCATAATTTTGTTATAGAAGCCACAGTTTAATTTCTTATTTAATACGCGAGCTTCTCACGATATTTTTGTTTCTCCCTGATAGTCTTTTTCCCCCTAGATTGCCCTAATCGAGCAAGTTCCCCCTAAAACTCATACCTTTTTTTATTCATAAGAACAACAATGACGTATCAATAATAGTAATGATAAAAAAAAAAAAAAAAAATCTACCACGCCATCTTAAACGAAGATGAGGCGAAACCTCCTACTCCCCAAAAACCATCAATCAGGGCAGATTACTCGATCGCCCGGTTGCCCCAAAAATAAAAGAACAACCGATGACTAACTATGTCCCTCTCTCTTTCCCGTCCTTCCTCCCAATTCTTCCTCTCCCTATACGTAACAACGTTATTTATTTCGCGCCATCCACCCATCAGCCCCACTCGGCCACCGCGTTCGCGTGTGCGTGCTTCGCCTACTTTCCACATCCTGTATGGCATACACAGCAAGTTTCGTGGCGTTTTATTTCTCGCTCGCACGCTAGAGCGCAATAGCCGGCAGATAGCCGGGCCGGTGGCGGATAAATCGGCAGCGTTAAATCAGAGCCGACTTAGGCAAATCGCCTTTTCCGCGGCACGTTTATCAGCAAATGACCCGCCGAGCGCTGCTCTTCTCTCTTGTTTAGGTACACGCTTGTATACGTGGATACATGCATCCTGGTATATACTCATTACGTGGGTATACACGTGAGTTTTGGTATTGTGTCATTGCATGTGTTTCGAGAGTTGGAGAAAAAGTGAAACACATGCACAGCATATATAACTCGTATGCTTGGAATAAAGGAAGAGATGATGGTATACGAGAAATGCATGATTATACTGCTTTTGAAAGAAAAGTACCTGCTTAATGATATGCTATGTGATTATACTTATAGTAAGTTGGTGAAAGTAAAACATGAGTTGCAGGTAATTAACTTGCACCATGCCTAGGGGACAAAAGGGCTACTGGATCATTTGGTGCGTGTAGCAGGACGAGGATTACCGAAACATTATTTTTTGAAATCTCTCCAAGTAAAATCACGTAAAGTATATTCACAGTACAGCTATAAATGGCTCATCACAAGCTGATGTTCACCAGCTCATTTGCTTCCACTTGTTTTACCTTTTACCCGTTGCTTACAAAACAACTTTACATTATTCTTACCTTCCGTATCTTTTGCTGTGAAAATTATTTTGATTGTTAAAATATTGTGATTTCAACAATTTAATGGCAATAATTTGGTCGCTTCGATAAGACTTACTATATCCTCACGAGATGCACCTTTGGCTGAATCTTCAATCATCCATCAAATGCTGATTTAACCCAGTAAAAAAAAAAGAAAAAAGGGACCAAAGCCACATGATACGATTCCGATAATTGGAAAGTAATAATCGATTCTAAAAACTCTATGATGACACTTTACTCCTCGAATCCACACGGTACACACACCAAGACTCAAGACGTGTTGGCCTCGTCAACGATGCTCATTTTCAATTTCATCGATTGCCATTAATAAAAAAAAAAAAAAAAAAATGGAGAGGAAGGAAGACAATGGAGTAGAGTTCAGACAGGGCCATGAATTCGGTGCTCCATTATGATCAAATCCTCACCGGCCGTCTTTTACTTTTTACCATCAGATGAGTTTGAAAGGAAAAACGGGGCACGCGGGGCAGAGATGGGGCATTGTTGAAAACCCCGATGAAAAGTAGTCGCATCGCGACCTCGTTACACCCTCGAACCCCCCCCCCCCCACTCTCCTCGTTAAAGATGTGAATTTATTTCCATGCAAATTAATGATGGCCGCACGGTCACGAACTCGATCACTAGGTAAGATCGTACCCGAGGACGGGGGTGGTGGGCTCTTAGTGGTGAAATTTAATGTCCCGCGAACTGTTACGGCCCGATCGTAAATTATTTACAATCGAGTGGTCTTTACTCCTGGAGCTGTACCGAGAAATCTCTCCAGACGTTATTTACACCGCACGTAGTACAGGCTGTTTTTTTTTTATTTCCCCGAGGTGGGGAATATCGAACAGCTTCGCAGCTCGATTGGCCGTTGTAATTATTATTTTATTTTACAATAGAGCTGGAGGTTTTTGTCGATTGGGCGAAAGTACAAGCTTTAAAAAAAGCACACTGGCAACACACAGAACTTTGCACACGTGAACCCATTGGAATGACGAAAGGACGGGATAGCTCTTATCGAAATCCTCGAGCCATCTATGTGCATACCATTCACAGTACCGACAAGTGCCCCGGTGGGGTGTGGCGTTGGCATATTAAAAAAAAAAAAAGAGAAAAAATTTTTTTCCTTCAAATCGCCAAGGGCTCTATCAAACGTATACGTACATTGGTACGTATACACACGCGGATATGCTCGATTCTGGGTCAACGTATAGCTGCCGGTCCTTTTCAACTGGCGTTGCAGAAAGGCAACGTGTGTATATATACATATATCTACCTGGCACTCGTCGACCTAATCCTCTCCTTTCTCTCTCCCTTTCGACTGTGGGGGATGATGCTGCTCCTGTGCCGTGTCGGCGTCACTCACGCGTACACGTACGTGTGTATACCAACATGCATGTGCGGATCTGCAGTCAAATCACGTTTCCCTGCACGTATATTCGTCCTCCGTTGGATTTTCGAACTCGCGCCCCGTTTCCGGTGAGTCCTGAATGCCACGGAGCCGAGAGAGGGAGTCGTCGCGTTGTCGATCGGACGTCCGATTTGTAAAAGCAAAGTGCACGAGTCGGGAGACCAAGTTGTACGATGTTCCACGCTATATTGTGTATATACCAACTGGTTTTACGTTAACTTGTAAACATGAATGAATCGTCATTGGGGCACCAAAAAATCAATTTTTTTTTTTTTTTTTTTTTTTCTTATACAAACCCACCTTGTTGTTCATTGAAAATACACCCGAGGTCTGTAAAAAGAAAAATAAAGTGACCGACAATTGGGGGACATTCACCTTAGACATGATTTATATCCGAGACAATTACCGCATGCGCGAATCACTTGTACCATTTTTCAACACTCAAAGCACAATTGTTTCAACTTTGTGGAACTGTAATGTTAATCCGTGCGTAAAGTGTACAGGTATAAAAAAAGTGTCGAACTCTATAATCGAAAAACAACCCCCTTTCCTGCATTGCAACGCGTTGGCTCGACAGCACGCAAATTTATACACTTCATTGTTCCCATCCTCCTGCGTATATATTTCTCCTTTCACGAGTTGCATGCACCGTCAGCTCACAATAGACGCACCCACAAGAAGCTAGAGAAGACAACTCACTAAATATACTCTGCACCTAAGTCGAATTTAACGTTGCAATTAGGCATACGTGGGTATAAGACGCTAAGACCTCCATGATCATTGAAGTAGAGACACAAAGACACTTGCTCGCGATGCACACGGGGTTGGGGTGGGTCTTATGGAAGTTTCGCGATAGGAGGGGCTTTTCATCGGGCCGAGAAATTATGTGCCATCTTATTTTCCTGCCACACACGTTTACGTATGCATATATGTGTGTATAGTACGCATGAAGACGAACTTTGAACTAATAGCCGGTATATATGTATGGAGGAGCGATATAGGCTTTGACTCCTTTCGCTTGCGTACTGCATTGTGTGCGTGAGTGTAAGTATGTGTTTGTTTGTTTGTTCTCTTCGAGGCTCGGAAGATATTTTTCATACAACGCGGCTTCCGCTGAGACGGGGTGAATTATATCTGCCGAGATAGTACCGAAGAACTCGAGGTGTTTGTGAAATTCCACGACTGTTGTCTTGAGAGTGTCGATGTGGAGTTTTGGTTGTTGGATTTTGGAAACATTTTAATCAGCTCGAACGTGCCTCATTTAGTACAACTATAGATTAATCTTTGTGTACGTACTTTCTGCATTCGTGTCGAATTTTTTTTTGCAATATAATCTAATCATCGATGATTTTGGCATTCAAACGAACCTTTCGTTACCCAAAAACACCGTAGAGCTACTTTGAATAATGACATACATGCATGTATACTTGATTAAAATATTTTTAATTGAACCTCGTTACAATGCTCGTCCAGGCCGAGCTGAATCGTCAATCGGCCTTTTAACAAATTCATGCGACGGTTATCATTGATTGTACGATCAATCCATTAAAATCATTTTTATCTTCCGTCCATGGGTACTCTCGACCAATGTATTGTGCATTTCAATATCGTATCGAAATCGGAATAAAATATCACGGGGGACCCGCCAAATATGTATATCATCCATTTGAAAAAAAAAAAAGTAATTGAAAAAGTGTGTACGCCATTAATCCAGTTGCAAAGAACTGACGAGGGGGGTAATAGGAGAAAAAGAAAAAAAAAGAGCTCCTGTAAAATACAAGCCCCCGCGGCTCCAGCTCGATAAAAACGCCATTGCTCCGCTAATTACGCCAAATTACCCTCTGTCCTCGGGCTCTGAGAAAAAAAGAGAAAAAATGCCAAACTTCATTTTCCATAAAACATGGAAGAAGGAAAAACGGGCATATCTCAAATCTCCGATCGCGGAGGGGTTTACAGGATCGTACCACGGTACTCGCGCCTCGGGCCAGCCAATCAGCGGCTGCGGTTTCTACATTGGCTCTATCAAAGATTTGTCTCCCCTGCCTCGTGAACCGCCACGAGGAGCTGCACTTGTGTACGGTCGACCGGCAAGTCACGACGATACAGTGCGCGGTTGTATACATATGTTTCCCGATGTGTATGTTTGCATGCGGCGATTATTACGAGCAAACGATGTTTGGGACGTCGATTCGCTCGATTGTTTGACGCTCCGCGGAAAGGGAGGATGGAGATACTCTGTTGGGCGGTAGTTGGTCCGACTTGTTGCGA